AATATATACAAATGTAAAATTCAGCATATCTTAAAACCGAGATATTTTACTCCTGGGGTAACAGAAATGCATGCACATGTGCATCAAAAGAGATTTTCAAGAATATGTGTAGCATCATTATTTGTAATAGATTAAAAAAAAAATTAAAAAACATCCAAATGAGGCTCCTGATTACCAGCTTAGAAGTTATTACGTCTATCCTCAGAAGAAGAAAAAGCTGTAAAAACTAAAAATTAACAACTTTTTTTTTGGAGATATTATTGATGTATAACATTGTATAAGTATAAGGTATGCAACATGTAGATTTGATATTTATATATTATAATATAACATGATATAATATATATTATAATATAATTATCACCATAGTGTTAGCTAATGCCTCTTTTACATCACATAATTATCATTTCTTTTTTGTGGTGAAAATATTTAAAATTTGGTCTCTTAGTAGCTTTGAAATATATAATACAGTATTGACTATAATTACTATACTGTATATTAGATCTTTAAAATTTATTCATCTTCTAGTTGCAAGTTTGTACCATTAAACAACATCTCCCCAATTCTCCCATTTCCCAGTCCCTGGCAATCATCTTTTTACCCTGTTTTTATGAGTTTGGCTCTTTTAGATTTCACATAAAAGTGACATCATACAGTATTTGTCTTTGTCTGATGTGTCACATTTATTGATTTTCATATGTTGGACTATCCTTTCAACCTGCTTGATCACAGTGTATGATCCTTTTAAAGTGTTGGTGAATTCAGTTTGCTAATAATTTGCTGAGAAATTTTGCATCTGTATTCATCAGGAATATTGGTCTATAATTTTCTTATAATCTCCTTATCTGGCTTTGGTATCAGGGTATAAAATGACCTCATAAAATGATTTTGGAAGTGTGCCTTCCTCTTAAATTTTTTGGAAGAGTTGAGAAGGATTGGTGTTAACTTTAAAAAAAAAATAACAATAACAGATTTTACTTGCAAGCTTCAAATCTTATTTAAGAAGTTTCTAATAAAACCCAGAGACAATGGGGAAGAAAAAAATAAGTACAGGGAGGAAATTTTAGCCTCTAACATCTGTAGTCACATCAAAGAGTAAACACAATATAACTTATAGCCAGATATATAAAACCTTACATTAAAAGCATACTTGTGGTGTGGTTCCATAGAGTAGTGGTTATCACATCTGCTTTTCACGCAGAAGGTCCTGGGTTTGATCCCCAACGGAGCCATGGCCCATACCCTGGGCGTGCCAGGCCCTAGGTGCTCCAGGCCATGGGTGTGCTAGGCCCCCTGAATGTGCCAGGCCCCGGGTGTGCGCAACAAGCACATGGGAGGAGATACCTCACCTTTAGAGATCCAGTTCCTAAGGGGAGACGGCAACATCGTAGATCAGGGGTGGAACTGGGGGAGTGGGGTATTAGAATAAATAAATAAATATATTTAAAAAATCTAAAAAAGAGCATATTTGCTTCAGTCCTTTTACCTAGTGCAACATGTCCATTTTCAACAAAAATTACAAAGCATGCTAAAAAGGGAAAAACATAGCTTGAAGAGATAAAGCAAACATCAGAACCAGGCTCAGATATGAGGGAAACTTTGGAATTATCAGACCATGAATTTAAAATACGTATGATTAATATGCTAAGGGCTCTAATGACAAAAGTAGACAACATTCAAGAACAGAGGAGTAATGTAAGCAGAGAGATGGAAGCTCTAAGAATAAAAAAAAAAAATGCTAGAATAAAACCCCACTGTCACAGAAATGAAAAATGCCTTTGATGGACTTATTAATAGCCTGAACATGCCAAGGAAAGAATCAGTGAGCTTGAAGATATATCAATAGAAACACCCCAAATTAAAAAGCAAAGAAAAAAAAGGGAAAGAAATGGAGTAGAATGTTCAAGAAGTGTGGCACACTTTTAAAAGATATAACATACACATAAGAGGAATACCAAAAGAAGCAAAAAGAGAGAAAAGAATGGAAGTATTTGAAGTAATTATGGCTGAGAATTTTCCTAAATTAATGATAAACACCAAATCACATATCCAGGAACTCAGCAAATACCAAAAAATTGATACTTATGCATATCATATTCAACTGTAGAAAAATTAAAGAGAAAGTGAAAATCTTGAAAAAAGCCTAGAGAGGGAAAAATACCTTACCTTTAGAGGGACAAAGATAAAAATTATTTTAGACTTCTCTTCAGAAACCATGCAAGCAAGAAAGAAAAACTCTACCAACCTAGAATTTTGTATTCAGCAAAATTTTCCTTCAAAATGAAGGAGAAATAAACACTTTCTAGATTTAAAAAAAAAATTGAGGGAATTTGTCACCAGCAGATCTGCCTATCAAGAAATGTTAAATGAGATTTTTTTAGAGAAAAAGAAAATTATATATAAAATTGGTTTCCTCCTCTGAGGTACTGGCCTACACTACTCGGTGTGAATAGGGAGAACTCATTCAGCACCCGGCCCTCTATTCATGCTGAATAGTTTGACACAGAGCACAATGTATTGTTGGCTTAAAAAGAAATAAAAGACTTGCTTTCTCAAGCTACAGCTGCAACCTCTACATTTAAAAATACTGAGATGGGTACCTACAGACAAGATGGCAAGCTAAGTAAAAGTGAGGTTAACCACCTCCCAAGACTGCCTTAAAATTACAACCAAACTATAAAACAATCAACTTGGAGAACCACCTAAAGTCTAGCTGATCATAACACAAATATCTGAGGATATAAAGAAAAAGCCATATTGAGATAGGTATGAGGGCTGAGACACAAAACAGACTGGTCCGTCAACAGCACATGGTAGTTGAGCAACAGGAGGGAGAGCGTGGCTGCAGAGGCCACCCCACTGAAGGAACAAGCGGTCCTAGTCCCACATAGGAGCTCCCCAACCCATGGTTCCAGTCCCAGGAAGAGGAGTTCCCACAAAATCTGACTGTAAAAATCAGTGGGGATTCTGGCCATCTGGGTGAGATGTAAGGAACCTGAAAACCCAGTGTCTCCTTAAAGGGCCCACACACAGACTCACTCACTCTCACACTCACCTTGGGTTCTGGGGGTGGGTCAGTAACTCAAGAGGTGCAAGTGACATACAGGAAAAGACTGAGAAGTGTCGCACCAGGGCAAGGACTGGAGGTACAGTTGCCATTGTCCCTTTGTCGGGCCCATCTCTGGGGCAGTCTATAGACAGGTGCCATTTTGCCTGTTGTAATGCAGGAGCACCAAACCTGGAACTTGCACCTGGGTTTGAATATTCCGGAAAAACCACCAGAAGGACCAGAGGGGTGAGAAATGCCATTTATTAGTCATGAGGCAGGGAAGCTTCAGCAGCAGCTGGTTGGAGCTGCAGAAAGAGGCTGCACCTGACCAAATGCAAACAGAGTTTTTTGTGCCCACAGCAGAGGGAGGGAATATCTCACTGGGGGAGCAGCCACCTTCTCAGATGGATGGGAGCAAGATATGCTGCTTGGTTACAGGAGCAGATAACATCCATGGGATCAGTGGAAAACGTCCTTGGGAGTAGGTACTGCTGAAAGCTCTTTGTGTTCTGCTTTCCTTGGCTGCTGGCTGGATAGCTATCAATCTTCTGAGCATGTGGAAGGGCTCTGTTCTGAGTCAACCCTACACATGTGTTGAACTCTTCCCCTAAACGGCTAATTTTGAAGCTGCATTGGCCAGGTGAGAGCCGCCTGCTCCACCCTGTTTCCCTGGGGCCCTGCTCCATCCAGCCCACAAATTGCCAGCTGCTGGCCTGTTGCCAGGAAGCTGGCCTCACCCTGAGCCTTTTTGGGGGCCAGTATTCAAAGGTAGGCAATGGCTTTTGGCTTGTGTGGTCCACGCATTTCGGGGGAGACTTTTGCCAGTGGGCCACGGATGCCAGCCCGAGCTGCAATGTCTCTTGGGCAGATCGTGGAGGTCTGCGGGCCTGAGGCAGGCGGTGAATTTTTCAGAAGCCCCCAAACTCAGTACTGGCAGCAATTTTGAATCTTTATTAGCCCGACAGGATGGGTTTGCTCCATCCCATGTCTCTCTGAGACCATGCCCTGCCCCACACCACCCCACCCACAAATTACCCAGGCAAGCCTATTGCCAGGCAGCTAGTCCCACCCTGTGCTTTCCTTGGGCCATAAATTAGACAGCAAAGATCTCTCATCTCCCACAGCCCACATCTGGCCTGCGCATTTTGGGAGAGAATTTGGTGGTCGGCCAATGCCAGCCTGAGCTACAGAATCTCTTGGCAGATTTTGGGCGTCTATAGGCTCAAGGCAAATGGTGGCTGGCTTTGCTGTGATGTGAAAATTTTGCCAGAGGCCACAGGCTCAGCACTGGCAACAATTCTGAATCTGCATTGGTCTGACAAGATCAGCTAGTTCCACCCCATGTCTCTCTGAAACCCCGTACTACTGAGCCCACAAATTACCAGTGGCAAGCTCATTTGTAGGCAACTAGCCCCACCTTGTGCTTTCCCTGGGCCACAAAATAGCAAACAACAACTTTCAGCTTGCATGACCCATGCATAGCCTGTGCATCCTGGGAGAGACTTAGGTGGCATGCCACAAGCCCCATGCAGAGCTACAGTATTTCTTGAACAGATCTTGGATGTCTGTGGGCCCGAGGCAGGCAGCAGCTGTCCTTCCTGCAATCTGAGACTTTTGCAGGAAGCCGCAGATTCAGCACTGGCACGAAACCTCAATCTGCATTGGACAGGGGAAATCTGCTCACTTTACCCCCAGTGACTCCTTGGATCCCTGCCTACGAGGTTAATTCAGAACATAGCCCTTCTACGTACTCAGAAAACTGCTAGCTATCTGGCTAGCAGCCAATGAAGGCAGTACACAAAGGGCTTTTGGCAGTGCCTGTTTCTAAGGATGTTTTCTGCTGCTCTCATGGACATTGTCTGCTCCTGTAACCAAGCAGCACATCTTACTCCCATCTGCCTGAGAAGGAGGCTGCTCCCCCAATGAGATTACTCCTCCTTCTGCTTGTGGGCATAAAAATATTGCTTGCCTTTGGCTGGGTGCCTTTTCTTACAGCTCCAACCAGCTGCTGCTGAAGCTTCCCTTCCCCGTGAGTAATAAATGGCATGTCACACCCCTCTAGTCCTCCCTGGTGGTTTTTCTGGAATATCCCAGGTGCAAGTTCCTGTCCTGGAACTCGAGTACTACTAAAAAGCTCTTTTTAGCTGCAGAGTCTTACGAGCAACTGGCAGTTAGCCTCAGGCCTTGAGGTATACTGGTGCTTTCATTAATCCACCCCAGGCCTGCTACTGGGGGTAACCAAACTTGGTTTGCAGCGTGGTCTCTCCCATTTGCCTCCAGATCCAGCATAGGCAGCAACCATTTGCGGATTACTTTGTGGCTCCTACCAGGTAGCCCTGAGAAATCAAAGGCAGTGGCTGAACTTGGTCTACATGGGAACCCCTCCCAAGGGGCCACAGAACCAACATACCTACAGGCTGGTGTCACACCACAAGAGAACACCACCTGACTAGCCCCATAAGTGACATATCCAAAAGGTGGTCCCAAGAGGTTCACAAATCTGTTGGGGTGAATACCACTCTGAGGAGTCAGCCTCTAGCAACTCATACCCGGTGAGTGTGGCCAATCCCCACAGCCTGAGAATCAATCCCATCCACTGATGTATTAACAGAAATCAAGGCTTAACTACAAAATACACAAGGAGAACATACACAGCCCACACAAGGAACACACCCAGAGCCCCCAATGTAGGTGATCAGGAAGATTGCACCACTAGGCACACCTACTACATAAGGCCACCTGGCCAAGGCTGGGAGATGTAACATAGAAACAAACACAGAGAGGCAACCAACATTAGAAAAGAGAGAAATGTGCCTCAAATAAAACAACAGGAGAAAACTCCAAAAAATAAATAAATAAATAAATAAATTAAATGGAGGCAAGCAACCTACCAGAGATAGAGTTCAAAATATTGGTTATAAGAATGCTTAATGAACTGAGGGAGAGAATAGGTGATCTCAGTGAGGACTTCAACAGAGAGATAGTAAGCAAGAAAAAGAAAATAGAAACCATGAAAAAAAAAAACCCAGTCAGCAATAAAAAATACAATTATTGAAATGAAGAATACACTAGAAGGAATCAACAAGATTAGATGATGCAAAGGATCAAATAGGTTAGTTAGAAGACAAGGTAGCAGGAAACACCTAATCAGAACAGCAACAGAAAAAAAAGAATTTAAATAAC